GTTGGTGAGCAGGACATAGTACACGAACAAGTGCTGAATAAAACTGCCCAGTTTCTTCCTTAGTAAGCTTTTTGTCAGTGAGCCATTTAGCATCACTAATCTGGATTAAAAGATTGTGTTCTGAATGTATCATACCTGAATAGCTTCATCTAATACACTGGAGTTACAATCACCTAAATTTAAACAAATACGCTAGTTTTTTACTTAAGATCGAAATGCTTCTTTGTCCCTCCCTAACCTGGAATATCTAGCCACAGAGGATTTTTCTTTAGTATCCAATTCAGGGTGGAAAGGGTCATGAATAACTCACTGTGCATTGCGTCCAAATCTGCTTTAACTTCTTTGAATTCCAGAGAAATAACCAATCTTTTCATCGTTTAAAAAGTTGAACTCCTTTGAAAGTTATTACTTTGCATATATCTGAACATAGAGTATAAAATTAGACCTTTTGTAGACCCACCAGAGTAAGGTGTCCTCGTGATCTGCCTAGAAATTTTAGAGAGAAAGGAGAAGGAAACAATAAATAATGAAAAGGCTTCCTTTTGTTTTCCTTTATTTCAGCTTGCTTAACAATTGCTGACAAATGATCTGACACAACTTGTAGAAATATGGCCTCTGAAATCAATGTTGGTTTAATGAAAGGTGACTAGTGATTATTCCATCCAACTTTCCTTAAAATAAGGAGCTCACCCTCCCTTTTTGTTAGTCCAAGTATAGTGCACGTATAAAGTTAAGATCAGTCAAACCAACCACACACATTAGAAATTGGTATTTGATATTCTGTAGTAGAGCTTTACAGTCTTATTTCCAGAAAGTCATTATTACCGGATATTACTGAATTAGCACATTTCTGCTGCAACTGAGAAGAGAGAAAATAAATAAATAAATAAAATACATATTCTGGTAAGTAGGGTTGGTTATGTTGAAACTCACAACACTGTGTCCCAACCAATTTACAGTCTCCCCTGGGTAGAAGAGTTTTAGTTAGGAGCCCAGAGACCGCAGCAACTGATTTTATAATCTTTCTCATTTTAATAGGTCATAAAACTTGGAGGCATGACTATATTTTTTAATTTGATTTGTAAATGCTTTAGCATGTTTCATTCATAGACCAACACGCTGCTCTCTCTCTCTCTCACACACCCACACCCACACCCACACACCCCCCAAAGGACGTAAAAGAAAAAATGGGTACGAAGAAAATGCATCTTTAAATAGAGCATTGGAATAAGAGGTTGGTTGGTCGGATTAAGTAGCTGTGGTTGACCAAAAATAAACAATACTACAGTTAGCATGAAAATTCGTTATTTCACCTTGTTTTTCTATGTGATAGAACGAATGAAAAATGTTTCGAGAAAAAGGATCCTCTGTTTTGGTTCAGTTATTTGAAAGATGTGAGAACAATTATCCATCTGAAGATTCTCAACTATAGTAGTAGGTTTCTTTAATTATACTATTTTAACCTTCTCTCTACATGTTTAAAGTGAATGGAAAAGGATATTACCAAGCATTCACTTTGGTAGAGACCAATTTGAAGATCAAATGCCGGTAGTACCTTGATATATTAGAAGGCATGAATGTGCAGTATGCATTATTATACCCCATAAACAAGAGATGTCTAGAGAGATGTGAAATGAGGTGTGGAGAGAGAGAGAGAGAGATGAGGAAAGGAGAAAAAAGTGGGAATTAAGAGTGTACATATAGTAGTAGTTGTTTTTTTTTTTTCTTTTTTCCTTCTTAAATTACAATTTTTATCCCTTTAGCTAACTTCAGTTATAAATTTCGCAAAGACAATATTGACACTTTGTCATGTAGAGACCAAGTATTTTGGTTCATGTCCACTTAATTTGTTAAGCTCACCATCCAATACTTCGCCAGGCTAACTCTACCTGAAGGTGATTAAGTTGGTTGCCTAAGTCCCCACAAGTAGAAAAAGCCCCAAAAGTTCACAAATTCACATGAGACAGTATGTGTTCATATAATGATATATACAAATCTTTTAGAGTGATTGAAGGGAAAAATCGAGGAAATAGTTGAAAGAAACTATATGGATGTTAAATATTAAAAAAGACTTCATTTATAGATTTTGCCTCATGCCTCATCTTTTATTGAGCAGCTCCGTGTTCTGGGTAATAAATTAACTGCCCTCAAGATCTTTGATGAAATTGATTGTTTGCAGTTTGTTTTTATACTTACACAACTTGTTTAATGCAAATATCATTATTTCATTGGCAGATCTGTATTCTGGGCATTGTTTGGGGCAATATATTTGTGTTTTGGTATGCCAGAAATATACCGGCGTTCTTTTTGAAGTATTTGGAATGGACCCAGAAGATGGAGAATGCCAGCCTAAATTAAGGAGACAACTCGAAGACGTGGATTATGTTTCTGTGGAATTTGAAGGCAGAAAACTCAGTTGGCAAGATGTTGCTGTATACAAGGCAAGTCTACTTTGTTTATCCTTTTTGTCTTTGCCTTTTCTCTTCTCTTGATAAATGAAAACTATATATTAAGCATTAATCCTTGGGTTTGTTTAGGATAGTTTATTTTTAATATTTCTTTTTCAAATTCAGAGTAGCAATTTGTTACTATGTAACCTCAGCATGGTGATTGATTTGCATAGCCAAGCATGAGGAATAAATTATCTGGATTAATTAATTTAAAAGATTTCCTATTTGAGTCTGACTCGCAAAATTTGGAATCATAAATAGCATAATAATGATTTGTATTACTGTTCCCTATCAGCAATTGCATAATAATGTCGTGTGGTACTTCGATAAATTTGTCAATTAATGCTGCTTACATCTTCATCTTATAGCCCCCGGAAGATGCTCTTTATGCACATCCAAGGCTTTTTAGGGCATGTGTCCCACCAGGAATGCATCGCTTTCGAGGAAACATATGGGATTATGATAGCAGACCCCAAGTTATGCAAACATTGGGATATCCCTTAGCAATGACAGACAGAATTCCGGACATCACTGAAGCCAGGAATATAGAACTTGGACTTGGGTTACAGGTAATTCTTATTCTATGCAGATATGGATGTTGACTCTTCACTTTGTGATGACAGGTCCTAGAGTCATGACAGAGTGGGTCGTTGCATTGATTTTTTATATTCTGGTCAGATACTTATATTGGATTTATGCATTAAAGATAGTACAATATTTGCATGCATTGAAAAAACAAATAAAATAAAATAAAATACAAATTAGTGCAAATTCAAGCGTGACTCGCCACGAGGATCAATATAAATCTATCATTGTATCTGATTGGTTAATCACTAAGATTCGGTGCTAATACCTTGTTTTGTTTCACTTGTAAGTTTAGTTGGGGACTCAGGTTTGGTGTGTAAATCAACCTCCTCCAAAACATTTGGATTATCTTCTGCTTAATTATGCACTGGACTTGCGATTATTTCTTAGTGTGGGTTTCTTGTTTAAGGCCAGCATCATTTTGTCTGTTCTTTAAAGGATGCATGTAATGCTAGCCTTCTTTTTTGTTCCACATGTGTGTAACTGTTGTGTGTTAGCATTCTTTTTTATCCACAATTTTCAAAGCTCAGTTGGGAACTTCAGTTCAGTTCAACTAAACCTACTTTAAACTCTTGAACCATCTAATGTATAATCATGCATTGAACTTAACAACGTTGTATAATTGTCTTTGTTTTTTTGTTTTTCTTTTAAATTTCATTTGTTTGTGCATATGTGCTATTATTTATGTTTGAATTTAACGAGGCACATACATTCTACTTGGGCTTGGGAAGCTCACCTTATTTTGTCTCCTGATGGATTGTTTTTCTTTTTTCTCATGGAAGTACAGCTTTGTTTCATGCACGCACCCATCAAAACACAAGTTTGAGCATCCTCGGTTTTGCTTTGAGCGACTAGAATAAGTTGGCCAAAAGATTCAGGTTACTATTTTTTTCATTTATGTGCATGTATGGTTTGGTCAATCTCTTTAGCGATCCAATGCTTTGTTGTTCTTAATTTCAAGTCAAATCCAACAACTTTTCGCTTGGGTAGCGTTATTTTTGCACGATTGTAGAACAGGATTTCATGATTTCTGTGGCCTTACTGAATTAGTGGGACCCCCACAAGCGTAAATACAGTATAACGAGGACTGGGGTTAAGCTTCTACATATAAAGGGTTAAGGATTAGCCTAGTGAATGGGCTTCCCGTTGAGTTTGGGGAGGATTAGATGTACGTAACCTGACCTTCTTATGAAGATATTTTTTCATGTTTCTAAATGTAACACAAAAAGTGTCCCTTTATTATGGGAACCTAACATTTTAAGAGGGTAGTTTTTAATGTCTTTTTTATTATAGTGATAGGGAATTAATTTTCATATATACCTTTTTATGGTGGGTCCACTTGTTTTTATAACTTTAAGGCAAGTAGGTTAAATTATGAATTTAAAAAAAATAGTACATTGAATTTTGAATTGGGACAATTATTTTGGAACAGCCCAAAATAAAAGAAGGTAGATACTTTTTGTGGGACAATACATTGCACATAGTAATTATCAATTAATTTAACTAAATACACTTATCAATTAATTTATCTAAATACACTTAATTGATAATAAAACTCTAATATTAGTTTTTATCATATTATTTAATAAATATTATTCAGAAAACATAGTTGATAAGAAACATTATCCCACATGTTCAAATTCATTAAATCACAGTTGCACTGAGTTGAGTAAAAATAGTAAATTCTTTCAGTCTTCATCTTACAAAATATAGTACAACTTAATAGTGAGAATTTTAAGATATTGCAGTGAATTCTAATTCCAAAAGAACAAGAAATTTCAAGAAATCTTAAGATTTAAAAATCCCATTACATATTTGGTAATTCTTGTAATTTGCCAAATTCGATAAATCTAGATTCTTGTGACATATAACTTACATGATTTGGGAAAAAAAAAAAACAAAGAAAAGAAAGGTGAAAGCACAGTATTGGTAAAACTGGTTGCCTATAGTCATCTTCTGCAGGATCTTGTGATGGCTGAGAGGTTGCTAATGAAGCATCTAGATGCTCCCGGGAGATGGTTACTGGAGAAGCACCGCCGACTTCTGATGAACAAGTTCTGAGGGAAGTATCTGAGGGAAAAGAATCTCCACCGCTATATCATCTACAGCGAGGAGGTTCAAGACGCATTTGAGCACAATCGAAGATTGAGGAACCCGGCCACAACTTCTGTTCAAGAAGCCATTCATGGACTCTCATACACTATATACGGGAAGCCAGATGTAAGACGTCTAATGTTTGAGCTTTTCGACTTTGAACAGATCCAACCTAAAGCTGTATGAAGACAAGAAAGACTAATTGGAATACTACATGACAAGGGCAAGTCCAGTCTTCCTTCAAGACCAACTATTAGTAGCAGGATTTTTTCCCCATTATTGTTAGTACAGCAAATGCAATGCACCGAAGGAAATGCAATGTACAAAACAAATTTTTTTATTTTTATTTTTTTTTTCGTTATATATAGATTATGTGTATTATGTGCTATGAGGCTATGACAGGTACATAGGATGGTTGATGTAAGCTGCTTTTCAGAGATTGAAGTCCCTATTTTTGTTTAAAGGAGCTGTTTTAGAGAGTATAATTTGTGCTTTTGGTTTATGATCTGCTTCTCATCGTTATAGTGTCAAGGTTCAAGAATTTTTACTCTGGTGGCCGAAGAATTTCTGAGTTTGTCAGCTTTGTTCATGTGCTGCTATGTGTTGTAGGAATTTTTTTTTAGCAAATTCAACTTTGAGCTAATCATTAGTGTAACAACCCAGCTCCTCATGGATCCGGATCATTAAACGGGTCCTAACCTGACCCAAAAACATCCAAGGGTGAAACGGTAATTTCACGTTAAATTAAAATGTTGAGTTCCAAAAAAGGCAAGATGGTAATTTGTAATATTTCAATAAATTAAAACCCAAAGGACGTCATAGTCGTTTACGTGCATCACACAATAATTAAAATGAAGTCCGGTGTAAAATAGTCCTTTTGGGACAAAAATATAATTATGGCATTTGATTGGGTCATAAAAATAATTAATTTCAACTTCAAATGATGCCAAAGTGTAATTTTAAGAAAATAATTAATTTCAACTTCAAATGATGCCAAAGTGTAATTTTAAGAACTTAAATTGGTAATTACATGAAAAGGGAGAACCAGTCGACGTATACTCCTCATACGTCGACTGGTTTGGGATATGAACAGTGGGAAAACCCACTGCCATGATACCGACTGGTATGAACATAAGTTACAATGGATACCGGTCGACTAGTTTGGGATACCGGTCGACTGGTTTGGGACGTGAATTGCTCAAACATAAAGATACCTGTCGGCCGGTTTGGGTTATACGTCGACCGGTTCTAGAAAATCTTCACTCCCACTTTCCACTGTCCTGTGTGACCCTGTACTCCAACCTTTGGTCGTTCGACCACCCACGTCACTACACTTATGTACAAAATTAATACATTCCAACTTCAACAATAACCATGTTGCTATCACAATTTGCCACACGTCACTAAAATCCACTAGAGGATTTAGTGTACAAAAAAAATAATTACATTTTAACATTAAATAAAAATACAATAACCATCAACAACATGAACTACCACACGTTACTTAAATACACAAAAGGCTTATGATTGGATAAAACTTAATTACATTATCTAATGGCCATAATTGCAAACTTATTTACATTGTCCAAAAATTATGATTATACGTGAAATGGCCAAATACAAAATAGCAAAAAAAAAAAAAAATCATCTTCAAACATCTTTCAATTTTGAGGTGGATTGGCATCCGCCGGTTCTTTTCTAAGACCTGAAAAAAAATAATATATAGTAGGGTGAGCTATATGCTCAGTAGGTGACACTTCAGACATGCATCTTGAGTCCCCGTGAATCCAATCAAAGCATAGGCCAATGGGAATTAGGGAGCATGCAACATCGGGGATTAATACAACATTCCAACTAAATTCGAATACAAAGAATGTAATGCCGTGGAATGCGAATACATGACAATGTCATTCCCCATTTTCATTCTCAAAATCATCACTTTCAACTGTTAATACAGCCCGCCCTTTGGTGACCCCGCCGCGACACGAGAGGAGGATTGGCTAGTGCCCCTGACCCTTGGTAACCCCGCAGCGTCATTATGGGGCCCAGCTAGCTCAACCATGCTAGGGCGACTCTCTAATCCCCTCTAGGCTATATTAACCTCCGGCCCGTTGGTAACCCCGCAGCGACCGGGTTTGCATAAAACCATTTTATCCAAAACACTTTCCCGAAATTCCCAATTTCATTTTGAAATAAATTTCTCCCGTTTCATGCAACCCAATGGTACATGTATGCACATATATTCCATACTTTCAATATTATGGCATTTAAAGAATTACAATACCCAATCAAACATATATCATGTTCAACATTTCTAGAAAGGTCATCAACATAATAAACACAACAAAATGCATAGCAGTGGGACTATGCATTTTTTTTTCGTTATATATAGATTATGTGTATTATGTGCTATGAGGCTATGACAGGTACATAGGATGGTTGATGTAAGCTGCTTTTCAGAGATTGAAGTCCCTATTTTTGTTTAAAGGAGCTGTTTTAGAGAGTATAATTTGTGCTTTTGGTTTATGATCTGCTTCTCATCGTTATAGTGTCAAGGTTCAAGAATTTTTACTCTGGTGGCCGAAGAATTTCTGAGTTTGTCAGCTTTGTTCATGTGCTGCTATGTGTTGTAGGAATTTTTTTTTAGCAAATTCAACTTTGAGCTAATCATTAGTGTAACAACCCAGCTCCTCATGGATCCGGATCATTAAACGGGTCCTAACCTGACCCAAAAACATCCAAGGGTGAAACGGTAATTTCACGTTAAATTAAAATGTTGAGTTCCAAAAAAGGCAAGATGGTAATTTGTAATATTTCAATAAATTAAAACCCAAAGGACGTCATAGTCGTTTACGTGCATCACACAATAATTAAAATGAAGTCCGGTGTAAAATAGTCCTTTTGGGACAAAAATATAATTATGGCATTTGATTGGGTCATAAAAATAATTAATTTCAACTTCAAATGATGCCAAAGTGTAATTTTAAGAAAATAATTAATTTCAACTTCAAATGATGCCAAAGTGTAATTTTAAGAACTTAAATTGGTAATTACATGAAAAGGGAGAACCAGTCGACGTATACTCCTCATACGTCGACTGGTTTGGGATATGAACAGTGGGAAAACCCACTGCCATGATACCGACTGGTATGAACATAAGTTACAATGGATACCGGTCGACTAGTTTGGGATACCGGTCGACTGGTTTGGGACGTGAATTGCTCAAACATAAAGATACCTGTCGGCCGGTTTGGGTTATACGTCGACCGGTTCTAGAAAATCTTCACTCCCACTTTCCACTGTCCTGTGTGACCCTGTACTCCAACCTTTGGTCGTTCGACCACCCACGTCACTACACTTATGTACAAAATTAATACATTCCAACTTCAACAATAACCATGTTGCTATCACAATTTGCCACACGTCACTAAAATCCACTAGAGGATTTAGTGTACAAAAAAAATAATTACATTTTAACATTAAATAAAAATACAATAACCATCAACAACATGAACTACCACACGTTACTTAAATACACAAAAGGCTTATGATTGGATAAAACTTAATTACATTATCTAATGGCCATAATTGCAAACTTATTTACATTGTCCAAAAATTATGATTATACGTGAAATGGCCAAATACAAAATAGCAAAAAAAAAAAAAAAATCATCTTCAAACATCTTTCAATTTTGAGGTGGATTGGCATCCGCCGGTTCTTTTCTAAGACCTGAAAAAAAATAATATATAGTAGGGTGAGCTATATGCTCAGTAGGTGACACTTCAGACATGCATCTTGAGTCCCCGTGAATCCAATCAAAGCATAGGCCAATGGGAATTAGGGAGCATGCAACATCGGGGATTAATACAACATTCCAACTAAATTCGAATACAAAGAATGTAATGCCGTGGAATGCGAATACATGACAATGTCATTCCCCATTTTCATTCTCAAAATCATCACTTTCAACTGTTAATACAGCCCGCCCTTTGGTGACCCCGCCGCGACACGAGAGGAGGATTGGCTAGTGCCCCTGACCCTTGGTAACCCCGCAGCGTCATTATGGGGCCCAGCTAGCTCAACCATGCTAGGGCGACTCTCTAATCCCCTCTAGGCTATATTAACCTCCGGCCCGTTGGTAACCCCGCAGCGACCGGGTTTGCATAAAACCATTTTATCCAAAACACTTTCCCGAAATTCTCAATTTCATTTTGAAATAAATTTCTCCCGTTTCATGCAACCCAATGGTACATGTATGCACATATATTCCATACTTTCAATATTTTGGCATTTAAAGAATTACAACACCCAATCAAACATATATCATGTTCAACATTTCTAGAAAGGTCATCAACATAATAAACACAACAAAGCATCATCTAGACATACTTTTCACATAGAACAAGTCATATTCAAGATTGTGAAATTCTCTAGACATCACTTACACAACATTAAGACAATTAATTCTCAATTTAAGCTTGTTAATTACACAAAGAAGATAAAATTCACAAAAGAGCAAGAACATCATGAATTAAGGGTCCTTACCTCAAGTTTGCACCAAAACCCTAAAGATGGGTCTCAATTTCGAATTCCCTAGGGGGACTCAAAGCTGGAATTGATGGTACTCACGCGTAGAGCTTATCGTGCTCTCCGTTTTGTCTCAAACGGCTCTTAAAAACTCCAAGAATTGAAGAAGTTACCAAGATCCAAAGTTTGCTTCTCAAATAGAAGGAAGAAAGAAATGGAAATGAGAGAGAGAAGAAAGCTACGGGAGAGAGGAATGAGGATGAAGAAATGTGGTCTCTAGACCACTTTGTGGTTAATGATGGGTCCCACCAATTTTCAATTTTATTTTCCATTTTCTTTTTGCTCCAATTTTACACCACATACGCACACAAGTGAACCATATGCAAATACTACTTAATCCACATAATTTAAAATGTACACAATGCAAATGGACCTAACCACAATCCTGTACACATAACGTGAGGAGACAAAAATGCCCTTGCGGCGACAAAATTCTGAAAAAAAGAAAAATGCAGAAAACCGGAAACTTTACAATTATGTACCTTGTAAAATAGACAATTAATTTGAATAGTATTATGCTTATCATCCCATGACAAATCAGGTAGTGCAGTGGGTGAAAACAGAACTGTCATCTTTTTTCAAATAGTACCAAGTACGATGGAGATGAGCAACCCCTTCATAGTCACTTTCCCGCCAAGACAGGACAAATCAACAGTTCGGAAGGGGAAGACCAACCCGTCGTTGTTCCTTCAAACCTCCCAGCTGGTCAAGATTAAGAGGACATAGAGCAACCAAGCAGAAGGACTCGGTGAATGATATGTTTAGTAGCTCATTTCGTTCAGCCACAGAACTTAAAGCGAGGGAGATACATTTCAGGCCTAGCAACACATGTTTTTTGAACGACTTCACTTTTACTTCTCAATGTCTTTGTGGAGTGGTGACGATTGGTCAAGTTTTGGTTGCCAACCAAACCAAGAGGGTCTTTCTGAACATGATGGCAATGAATTGGCATAAATTGGAGGTATGCGGTTACATCTATTTCATGAATTCACTCATAAATGGAGCTGATGATGTAATCGAGCTGCGATCACAACATCATTCATAACTTTCTTGGCACTGATTAAGAAGTGGCAAAATTATTCAACGCCTTGTCTAGCTTCTCTGTAATTCCTAGTAAAATTAGAGATGTCAACGGATTGAAACCTACTTCTTTGACGTAAATAATTATTAGCTTAAAATACCTTGAATTAAACTTACGAATCTATTAAATATGACAATTTAATTTGATCAATGTAAATAACAATTAAAACAAATTAACAATACAACAAAGAAAAAAAAAAAATTCAAATTAAGAATTTGACACGTATTATGTCAATTTTTTTTTTTTTTTTTAATTTAAGTGGACTCAATTAATTTTACCACTAAATTATTGTAAAGATAAATTAATGGGCATCACATAGCTTAACATAACTATTTTAAAATTACGAGTCAGTGTGTCACACAAATCACAATGGTGAATAAAGAAAACTCGTCATTTTCATGCATTAATTGTACCTATTATTGTTGTTTACATCTGTTATTAATGAAAATGTACGCAAGTGCAGGACCACAACTTAATTGAGGTGGCACTGCCTATAGAAACCTAAATCAAATGAGTGGACTTGGTTTAAATTTCCCATCTTTATAGTTAAAGGATTAGACTACTAAAATAACCCGAGGCAGCACCAACAACCCTAACCCGAGGCAATACCAACAACCCAATTTTTGTGGTCTGTTGCATATAAAAATGGATTCAAGTGCACGACCACAAGTTAAGGTGGTACTGCCTATTAATGAAAGCCAAGTCATAAACATCATATATAAATGGGGTAAATTACATTTACGTTCCTTAAAGTTTAGACAAATTTCATTCGAATAGAACGATCAAGGTTTATTACAATGACCTCCCCTCAACTTTTGGAAGCTGTTGTAGCTGGTTAGGTCTACTACTGATTTGGGCTGGGCTAGCTTTTGGGCCAGGATCGTATTTTCTCCATAGTCTCCCTCAGACTATTGTAATTTTTCTATTGCATTAATATATTAGACTTTACCTTTCAAAAAAAAAAAAAAAACTTTTGTGAGTGTGCTCAACGCTCGTGACGTGATCTGTATGTTAGAATCGTTAATGAAAATGGCAAAAATGCGCTTCATTTGTATAAAAAGATGATAATAACCTTATAAAAGTACTGAAATGACTAAAAAGCCAAAAAAGCACTTAGAGTGAAAATTGAAATGCCTTTAACAGGATTCCCATGATTATACATTGTTAAAAGATTAAATTCCAATGAAAAAAAAATTTAAAAAAAAAAAAAAAAAAAAAAAAAAAAAAAAAAAAGAGAAGAAAAAAAAAAATCCGACAAAAAAAGTGTGTTTAAAAATTATGTGACGAAAGAAAACACATCATTTTCATACATTAATTGTACCAAGTGTCCCCAGCAACCAAATTTTGGTGATCTCTATAGTCTGCATAAATGAAAATGGAGGCAAGTGCAGGACCACAACTTAATTGAGGTGGTACTACCTAATGAAACCTAAATCAAATGAGTGGACTTGATTTAGATTTCCCATCTTTACAGTTGGAGTATTAGACTATTGAAATAACCCAGAGGCAGCACCAACAACCCAATTTTTGTCATCTGTTGCAAATGAAAATGGAGGCAAGTGCAGGACTACAAGTTAAGGTGGTATTGCCTATTAATGAAACCCAATTCATAAGCATCATATATAAATGAAGAGTTTGTCTATCTATATAAATTGATGGATGTATATAACTGGTTATGACGCCATTGCTATCCTCACCAACATGCGTAAGTGGTGACGTCAACTACTGGATAATTATAATAAGAGGTTGATACCTTACCAACTTTCTATTAAAATTGTAAAGTTCCTGATTTTCACCATTTTCTTTTTCTAGAATTTTCTGTTTTTGCAAGGGTATTTTGGTATTTTCTTGTTTTGCGTGTCGGACACCGTGGGGTGTGCCGAGTGTGTTTGAGAGTTGGTTGGGGTATTCCAATGAGTTTAGGACTCTTAAAAATGCACCGATTGCCATTTCGGCGTTTTTCCGTTTTTCGGATCAGAAAGTCCCATGTGGGACCCACCACTGGATTTGTTGTGTGCAGACTTTTTGTTTGGGGCCATTTGAATCTCATTTATTTTTATTTATTGTATTTTATGTAGATGTGATATGGTTAGTGTGTGTGTATATATGTGTGTGGTGGAAATTTAAAAAGAGGAAAAAGATTTTTCTTAGTGGTGGGACCCACCACCACTAACTTTCCATTTTAGTGGTCAAGAGGCCAACTTTGGCCTCATTCTTCCTCTCTCTCTCTCTCTCTCTCTCTCTCGGCTATATCTCTCTCTCCCTCATTTCTTTTCTTTTCTTTTTTTTTTTTTTTCTTATAAATTTTAAACCTAGATTAATCTCTAACCATTTGGAGATTTTTAGTGCCGTTTGCGGCAAAACGGAGAGTTCAACGAGATCTTCACATTGATGTAAGCAATTTACCATTTGGCCAACCATAGGATTTTCGAGTTTAAGGCTTGGGAATTGGGACTTTTTGCATTCTTGAAGGTAGGGGTTCCTAATTCATAATTTCTTGCACCTTGGTGAATTACCTTCTTGATTTGCTGTCTAACATGCTATATTGTGTTGATTTTCCTTTAAAATGATGTAAACAAAGTATATGGCTATGTGTATTAATTGATTATATGTGAACTAGCATGCTTGTATGAAGTAGAATCTATGTTTTACATGCTCATTATGCTAGAATTGTTGTTGAATGGAAATATGAGACGTGTACTAGCATAGAAACTTACTTGAAAATCATGTATAATCTTGAATGTTAATTTGAAAGGCATAAATTTCCTTATTTCACGGCATGGCATGAAAAGCATGATGCATCTATGCACTTCATTAGGAAAGAAATGGGAATTTGGTTTTGAAAAAAATGAAACGAGATTTTTAGAGAAAAGTTTTGAAAGGATTTTGCAAAAAACCCGGCCGTCTAGGAGTTGCCTAGGGACCTCAGCATTAGGGAGACCTAGAGGGGACTAGGGAGATCGCTCTAGCGTGGTTAAGTTACCTGGGCCCCAAATGACGCCATGGAGTTGTCATGGGTCAGGGACAATTAGCCAATCCTCCTCTCGTGCCGCCATGGAGTTGCCATGGGATGGGTTTCATTAACAGTTTGGAAATGAGGATGGAAAATGTTTTGGAAATGGGGAGTGACATTGCATGACATTTCACCCCATTTCATGGCATATTCATTCATGACTTGGGTTAAGGATGTGGTATTGTGGTTATTTTTCCCCCGGCATAACATGATCCCGCTATCTTTTATCTATTCATTGTATGGATTCACAGGGTCTCAAGAGGTGTGCCTTAGACACCTCCTACTGAGCTTATGCTTACCCCTTCATTTTAACATTTTTTTCAGGACATGGAAAAGAAGTGGCGGACTATGATCCACCACAGCCTTAGCTTAGATTAGAAGACTACTTTTGGTTATCGTTGTAATTAGATCTTATTTTGCAAAGCCTTGTAAAGCATGTATATTTTGTAGCTTATGGTTTGTAATTATAATTCCATGGTAGTATTTGTTACAAATTTGACACAATGTTGATATAACTTATGTAGATCATTTTCGAATCAAATAATGGATGTGTAAAACTTGTTTTTCAATGGAATGGAATGTGGTTATTCATTTCTGTATTGCACCAATTCAGTAGCAGATTCCTCAACTCCGAAGGCCATTTCGGTCGATTAAAATGGGCACTTTGGTCGGCCGAACATTCTAGTGGACTCACTTACTGTTTGGGCCACAACCGGCTGACCGGAATGGCCATTTTGGTTGAATAGTACCAGAGTTATTTCGGCTGACTGAAGCTCCACTTCGGTCGACCAGTTAGCTGTTGTTTGTGGCACTTTGTTCCTCCTTTGTTTTGGGTTGTCCCTGGCCTTGGTAAGTTGTTTAAAGCCTTCTTGAAGCTTATTTAAGACACAAGGATGATGTATGGACATTAGATATGATGTGGATCGACTTTGGTGACCTCGGGTTCGGGTAAGGACCCGGTTAACGGTTCGGACCCACAGGTTCAGGTCGTTACAAAATGATCCTGAGTTTATATGCCAAGGGTCCGCCCCATTTTGTACATAATGTTATGTTCGGCACCGAATTCACCAATACATTAAAAAAAAATTAATATAAATTTTAATTTTTTTTTTTCGATTTTAAATTCTAGACATCAATTTAATACACTCAAACATAACAACGGATTTTAGGTCAAAGAAGTGGGTTTCAACTTGTAAAATTAAAGAAGTAGGTTTTAATAGACGAAACTATTCAACGGATTCAGGAGCACTATAATAGTAAGAGGAAGACCTGGACGGCTCAGCTATTGCACAACTATTTTAGTACTCACTGGGATGTTTTTGTTTTCTTTTCTACTTTTATACTAGCTCTCATTTTCTGTAATGTTTTTTATTTTTACCATTTTCTATTTTTTAAAATTTTTTGATTTTTTCGTGGGTATTTTCGTCTTTTCTCGTTTTACGTGCCAGACACCGTGGGGTGTGCCGGTTGTGTCTAAGAGTTGGTTGGGGCATTCTATTGAGTTCATGACTCTTGAAAATGCAATGGTTGCCGTTTTGACAATTTTTCTGTTTTCGGACAGGAAGGTCCCAAGTGAGACCCGCTACTAGAATTGTTGCGCACGGGGGTTGTGTCATAGGTCAATTACATTTCTGGCATTTTTATTTTTATGCAAGATCTTTAATTTATTAAATTGTGTGGTTGGGATTTGAATTATATATATATATATAGGAAATGTGGGATTTATTTTAATTCTGGTGGGACCCACCATCATTTCTTTTAAATGGTCAAAAGGCCATTTTATGGCCTCATCCTTTCTCTCTCTAATCTCACGTTCTCTCTCTCCTTCCCTTCTTTCATTTTCTTTTTCTTTCCACACAAAATTCAAGCATTGATTTTTTGTTTGTTATTTGGAATTTGCTAGTATAGCTTTAGGCAAAGTTAGAGAGCTCGTCGAGGCCGTCGTTTTGATCGGAGCCAATCTCCGTTTAGCCAACCTTGGAATTTCAAAATTAGGGCTTAAATTTGGGGCTTTTCTCATCTTTTGAGGTAAAAGTCTCTAATTCACAATTTCTTACACTTTTGTGAGTTATTTTTCATGATTTGTCACATAGCATGCTAAATTTGTATTCATTCCTCTTAAAATGACCTAATTATTGTAAATGAAGTATGTGATTATGTGTGTTAGTGGTTATTGTGTGAATTTGAATGCTTAAGTGGTAGTATTCATTGCCTATTGTGTTTAAATTGCTAGATTTTACAATATGAAAGCATGATATTTCTTTTGAGATTTCTTGTAAAACATGCTAAATGATTTGAGCTTGAATTAGATGTATGATAATGGACATTGGTATGACATGGAAAAGTATGATACATTCATGCATGACATTGGGCAAGGAAAAATGAGAAATGTGATTTGAGAAGGAAAGAGAATTGATTTTGGGAAAAAGGTTTTTTTTTTTTAAAGAGGTTTTGCAAAAACTCGGTCACTTAGGAGTGGCTTATGGGTCTGTAGCGTTAGTGTGACCTAGAGGGAACTAGGGAGACTGCCCTGGTGTGGTTGAGTTCCCTGGGTCCCAAATGACGTCCTAAAGTTGCCTTGTGGTCAGGGACAGTTAGCCAATCATTCTCTTGTGCTGCCACGAAGTTGGTATGAGACGGGTTGTATTAAAGGTTAGAAATGATGATGGATAAAGGTTTTTGAAATAGGGAGCGATATTGCATACCATTGCATTCCATAGCATGGCATGGCTTAATGAGAACTTTGATGCATTGTTGTTGGAATTGTTGCTATGTTTTTCTCTTTCGATTAAGCATGATCCCGTTCTCCTTATTTCTATCTATTGTTCGGATTCATGAGGTCACAAGAGGTATGTCTTAGGTACCTCCTACTGAGTCATTGTGCTCATCCCTTTATTATTAACATTTTTCAAGGTTCGGGAAAGAGGTGGCGGATGACGTTCCACCACAAGCTTAAAGAGGGCTAGAAGTTCATTTTGTTACCTTTTGTATCTTAATTCTGATCTTTTGTAAAGGCTCGTCTTAAAAATGTATTTCTTTTGTAAAGCATGGCTACGTAGTGAAATTGTATCCTCTTGACAGTATTTTAATGTAACTTGAAACCATATTAATACTTGAAATAAATGGTACTATGATGTAGAAACTTTTGAGAAACTCATTTACGTTTGTGACCAAGTATTATTGTTGTACAATGTTTGCCGTGAATTCAGGATGGGTTGTTTATCAGGTTCTGTGTAGGTTGGCTCATAATGAGCCCATCCCTTCTGGCGTTATCAGCTGCAGATAACAGCATTCCAGGCCTGTTGGCTGGTTGACATGGAGTATCAACCGGCTGACAGTGCACTTTCTTGGCATTCCAGAGAGTTGGGTTCCTAGGAGCATTGTTTCGGCATGCCGAACTTCACCATCAGTCGACCGAACCTCCATCTTCAGTTGGCCGAAATCCATCATCAGTCGGCCGACAATCCAGTTTGGCAAAGTCTATGTGATAACTCGGATTTTTTTTTAGATTTTAATTTACAATTTTTTTTTTTTTTTTTTTGAGTTTAGTTTAGTGGAGGTGTAGTTGTTATTTTTTCTATTTATGTTTTGTGGTCAAATGGAGAAAGGAAAGAGAGCATGGTAGCCAAAGTGTGGGAAAAGAGGAGTGAAATTATGATGATTTTTGTGAGGCCCAATAAGAAGATATTTAATGGGGTTATTTGATTTGATTACATATTATATATAATATTATGGTGATAAGAAGGAACAGGTCGGGTTGATTTGGTTTTGTTCATTTATTTATTTATTTATTTTTTAATGATAATGAGTGTATTTTGATGTATTTAGATTTGAATAAATTGAAGATTTTATTAGAAATTTCAGGGCGTGAGAGTCCCAAAAGCATGTAGTTTTGGGAATCATTTTGGCCGGCTGATTATCTCCATCAGCCGATTGAACATGCAGTTTCAGCTAGCCGACGAAGAGCTATCTGGCTGATCTTGTCCCTTTGACCAACACCTTTGACTTTTCCTTCCAAACTGTAATTTGGAGTATCTTGGACCTTAGAATGATCTGTGTTCCACTTGTCATTACAAGAAAAAAGAGCTTCTACGAGGGGCCAAAAACGTCATGTAAACTTATTCACGGATGTAAACTTATTCACGGCGCATTCTAGATCCTCGTGTATAAGAGTTCCGTAAATACTTAATTTTTTTTACTGGAAAAAATCTATCTCATAGAAAAATAATAGATTCGCTGTGAAAAATAATTTCATTTATATATTAAATTTATTTACAGCATGGATATTTTTCCGTTAATAATTAACTTACGAGGCACCGGCACATGCCATAGAAAAGTTTTCTACGGCGAGTTTTAACTACCCGTAAATAATCTCACGAGCCACCGACGCATGCATTTTAACTACCCATAAATAATCTCACAAGGCATTGAAACATGCTGTAGAAAAGTTTTATACGGCGAATTTTAGTTACCCGTAAATATATAAACCATTTTCATGAGTTGCCATGTATGTCGTAAAAAAGTTATTTACGAAAATTTTCACTAATATACAACCTTTTATTTACGGGGTTTTAAGCTTCCTGTAAATAAAAAATATATATATATATATAAATGTTTTTTATATATAAATCACCATTAATTAATGCCAGTCAATCAATTATCCACTACCTGTAATTCACATCACTTTCAGCTATAATTCAATTAAAAAAATATATCCCATTAAACATATCAAAAGAGTTAAAACATTTTTACAATTCATCATTTATCAATGTGCCAAAACAATTCAACATTTATCAATGTTCCAAAATAGGAAGTAAATCCCCTTGTCAAGAAAATTATCAATTTCCTAGCACTTCTGTTGAAAAATTAATAAACCTTCTAGCACTTGAGGTTCAATCTGCACTTGTCAAAAAATCAGCTCACTATACAAAATCCAAGGAAGAAGTTGCATCAAACAAGTCTCAAATTCATAATGCTAATAAAAAAGCGAAAGAACAAGATTATCATTTATAAATCAAACACAAATATTTTGCTAAGAATTTCTTCTTCAGATCTGCCAAAAATATTTCAATCAGATAATTTTTCTTAATTGAATACTAGATTTTTGCAAGTATGTATGAGAACAGACAATATCAAAATTTCTTTATATTCATGAGATAAAGAGAACACATATTCTAGCCGGCTCGAACCATAAATTTAGGATTGTATTACACTCAGTGATCAGGTGTCCATGGCATTTTTGAATCACTTGACTAATTACTCAGTGAACAAGTTTTGTGTATTAATAATATATTCTTTGTTTTCTTTTAATATAAATTACCCACAATACAAATAATCAAGCTTCACCTAACTAGGTTGATAATCGTCTATGTAGTCTAAAAACACTAACTAGATGCAAAAAAACCCTCAAGAAATCAAGTCCAGTAGGTTGTGTTGATTTGCTCTCAGTTGCAAATCCTGCCATGATTGAATTGTGTTTTCAACAGAGAATCACATAGCAGAACAGTCCAAAAATAAGCATGTGATCCATTGATTTTGACAAAAACCTGTCCCTTCTTGAAACTATCACTTTCTATTAAACATATACTAATTAGATAATATAATTTTTTTAACAAGATAGTCTTAAAGGAATCTTGAAAACCTTTCTCTCCTATACTTTATTCCTTTAATTTATACATTAATCCCTTATCTTTGTTATGTACTTCTAGTAATATTTTTAGTATTTTCTTAAGGGTTAGCCTTCTTTGAAGGCTAGGGAACAAAACACTGACGTGTGGAGATTTGTTGTATTAATTGAATAATATCACATTTAACTTCCTCAAAGGCCTGATTTGGACATTGAAATGCATGGTTGGGCAATATTTCAAACTTTAAGTTATCCATGCATTCAAGCTAGTAGTCATCCAATCAATTTCGTCCCGTCCCAATGTATAATTTCTTCTGAATTTCAATTATTCAATAATTACAAAGTTCAGATCGGTAAAAGTGTAAATAGTGTGAATTCATACTATCTGTCACAAATAGTTGACTTTTCAGTTTGACATTGCGCGAATAAATATTAGAAAAATGATAATCGGGTCCACTTCATTGCAATGAAGTAGGTCTGCCATTTGGCTGGCATTTTAGGTCCAAATAACATTGTTGTTAGTAGTATTATGGATTTAGTTTAGATACGTTTCTTGAAACAAGTCACTAATGTGTTGGGTCGTTTGAGTCTAAGCCCCATGTGTAAGGAAGAAGGTTCAACCCAAAAATTAATGGTCCAATACTTGACAGATCTATGTGTGTATTATGTGTCCATGCATCATTATTATTACAACATAGTTATCATGTCAACATATCCGAATGTTGAATACTTGATAGAGTTTAAAGCTGGGATTTTATAAAATGAATACAAAGCAATGCATGATTGATGGTGGATATTATTGGGCATTAAAAAAGCATAGCTAAAAATGAGATTTTAAAGTGGACAGAATCGGTTGACCGCTGAATAAGAACAGATAAAACAAATGGATGCCTTAAGAAGACACTAATTGAGGAGAAGCTGAGAGGAAGACTTCCTATCATAGTTGGTCATTTTGGAACCAACTATTAATAAATTTATTAAAATAATCTTTTTTAAACATAATTATAATTAGTTTTTATTAATCAACTATTAAGAGACTCTGTTTTATATATATAGAATGTAGTATACTGTGTATAAGCAGATATGGTATGAGCATTCCATTTTCAAAAAATGTTGAACAGCTTTTGAAATTTTGTTTCACATCATCATAGAAGGATGGGCTTGACATGCGTAATCACCAAAATTAATTAAACCTTTTTAGCCAACTACTATAATCTAGATCACTCTCGCATCACTCGTGACTCTTGGTAGCATTACATTTTAATGACATATCAAATTATAATGTTTAGTGTTTTCAAGATTCACGGTTGATATTCTTCTTTAATCTTTGTCTAAAGTTTGGATGATTACTGGCTTGATTGGTTGTATTAATTAAATAAAATCACATTTAAATTTTCTGTTCAGCCCAATATCAAACCCAACTAGCATTAATAGACCTAAGCAATCCTTCGTGCATAAAAATAATAAATCGGAAAACAGCAAAAATGGTCACTTAAGGCACGTGACCCCCTATACACCCGTAATATGCAATGAATGAAAACCAAACTCCATCCGTAATAATTTTCCAACCTCCATTTATGCACAATAATAATAAAAATATGGCAAGGCACGTGACCCCTAATACATGGTGATAAGAAAAATGAAGAAGCATAGTATTTGACCTTTGTTATAGAATGGAATCATAAAAATTCTGATTTTTCTGCTCCAAATGAACTGGTGATAATCAATCCTGTCAGAAAAAAATATTTCAAAAATGTAATGCCAAATACATAAAAAATCAGATCGTATGACTAATTTAAGAAATATAATAATAAGTTAGTGAATGACTAATTGACCTATATGGTTTTCACATATTTGTTAGGCCATACAACCAAGCTTGTGTTAGCATCAATACAATTCCTCTCTCTTGGTCCTCTTTTTGCACCCACTTTAGAGGACTTTATATGAGAACATATGCAAGATAAGAAAATAAGAAAAACCATTAAAATTTAATACGAGGCAACAAAAATAATTTAAGAAGTATGAGTTAATTAAATTAGTAATAAATACTTGTGGCTATTTGATGAGGCAAATGACAGGGCATACATGTCAAGGAAGTTTCTAATACCTAAACGAGTATATGAAGGCCACTCCTAGGCTTTCCCTCTCTTTCTCTCTCTTTCCTTTTCTTTTCTTGGGAAAATTAGTGTTCAAGAAGTGTGAAGTTTTCAATTATCTAGCATGTATTGGGTAAATTACTTTTCAATAAATTTTAGATGACAAAGTGTAAAAGTGCTTCTAAAGCTACAGCTGCTTTCTTTTTTCGTTGATAATAGGGACTTTTCATTTGAAACTAATACTCTTTAAGCATTATCTATGAAGATAACATAATCGACATTGTTTAATCGCCCTGGATTTTAGGATTTAGTATACAAATCTTTGCAAGGATATTAAAGAACGAGATGATTCACTGCTGCTAAAAGAAGTAATTTTATCAAAACAAGTTCTTGAGGCAATACAATATTGAATTCACTGAAAAATATAGTGTACATTAGGAAGGCATTTCCTGAATTAACAAGGAAACTCTAGGTCCTAATCTTGAATCATGGCCTTCATGAAAAAGAACACTCCCTGTGAGTGCTTAATCATTGAAGCAGAAGAATCAACTTCTCTAAAACAAGCATCTTATGAGAAAAAACAATATGACAAAAATGATCAATTGTAGAAATCAACAAACTTCACTTAGGAAGAACTAGTAATTAAACAAGAGAACCTCATATATACATAGCCCAATTTATTACCCACATTTATATGTATATATAATAACTTGACTTATTTAAATTTGACTAGAAATAGGTACAATTCATTTAACTTTTCTGAAAGGTGACCAACATGGGTGAATTTTTTAATCATCTGTGATAAACTTATGACGACCTTGATTTTCATTTTATTTTATTTTTTCTACTCAAATTTCCACTATTCAAATAAATTTGACACTCTAGAAATTTCATATGAAATTAAATTGCGTTCTAAATTTCATGATTTATAGTACTAATTGATGCTCCAAAAGCTTATTTTCTTAAAGATAACCCACCATTTATAAATTTTATTTTCATCTTGCAAATTAAATTTGTCTATTTCCCCTTTTTGCTTTCATGAAACCTTTGCAAAATTAGGAGATGTAATTAATCCGATTGAATTATAGAAGTGAAAGATTTAGTATCTATGGGATTTGAAAAGAAAATAAGAAATACTCTGAATGCGAGCAACTGTTCAGATGTTTCTATTAAGTTATCAATCTTAAACACTTTCTTCTCCAGGTGGTATAAACAAATAGCTCGATCAAATAGATCATATCAAGAATCAGTTCACACACACACACACACACACACACATATATACAAACACATGTGCATAAAAATGTATAGATATAGATAAAATTTTGTGAAAAAAATTAAACTGATAATGGAAAGGATGAGAGGCAACTGTAATAAGGTACGTACCATCGTCCATGGTGGCTCGTTTCAACTTCAATTTATGGTCGTTGGTTGAAAACCCTAACCTCTTTGCTGGTCGCTTACGGAATGATCGACACCGTCGGGAGTCCAATCTGAGAAAGACGAGTTTAGGAAACCAAGCTTTCTTTCCTCAAATTACTGCCATCAACACGGTTCAGAAATCACCATAGGCTTTGGGACTATTATAGAGCTGTTTGGTCCTCTAGTGGTATTCCTAAACATTGCTTTATCCCATACAATGACTCTTTATAGAATGTAACTTACGTATTTCTAGCCTTATGCCCTTTTGCTAAATCACTCACACACACACACACACATAGATATAGATATATATTCATTTAAAGATATACATGATGATCAAAACACTGAAAAAAATAAGTTGGACATAAGGCAGGGAAGACAAAGATACCATGTTGAAAGGACATTAGCAGTATCCCAACTTAAAAACTCATGAATGCATGATGCAATTATAAGAAAAAATAATAAAGAAGAATATAAAATAGTATAGAATGAAGTCATATGAATCCCTCAACAGTTCCTGACGAAGCTTGTTACTTTGTTGAATTGCAGTAGCCTTCTCCTCCATCAAGAATTGAAATTAGAGCTCTTCCCTGAAATTTAACCAGAAGTTCTATTTTAGGCAGATTAACATAAGCTACTAAAAGTTCAGACACGAGCTACAAATAGCAATTACAGTGGAACTCCAAGCATATGGACCCTGACAGAAATCCAACTTAACTTCAAGTTGGATTTGAGCAAAATACTGGCTGAATATGTAAAGAATGTAGGAAGATATATATATATATATATATATATATATATATATATATATATATATATATATATATATATTGGTCGAAAGGCACAAAGGAAGAAATATACAATAACACACACAATTAATCCAAATAATAAGATTGTAAGTTATTCTTTTAACAGACGGAACACAAAATCAAAACAAAATTTCTCCTAAAATTGATAACATATATCCTTCTAATAAACAGGTAAATATAGCATCTAAATTTGATCCAAATATATACATTAGCAATTTAGCACACACAAAATAGAACAAAAGTAATTAAATATGCAATATGTATGTTTGAATGTATATACAATAGCAAAATTGCGACAAAATTAAACCAAAAGTACTTAAATATGAAATATGTATTTTTGAATGTATATACAATAGCACAGTTACAACAAAATAAAAGCAAAAGTAATTAAATATGATATCAATATAGAGCACATCAAAATTTAACCACAAATTGACCTTTTCATTGCAAGATCAGTTTAGACTGAGAAGAAGGCTTTAATCACTCACTAAAAACATTCAACATAAATATATCCCTTTTAACAGATGGGAAAAGAAAATCAAGAAATAAAATACAAGTAATTAAATATGAAATATGGATGTCTGTATGTATATACAATAGCACAGTTGCAATAAAAATTAATCCAGAAATTAACCTTGCCATTGCAAGATCAACTTAACTGAGAAAAAGGGTTGAATCACACCCACCCACCCACCCCCCAGGCCTGTTGAGGTGTGTTGTGTTGAGAGACAGAGCGCACGCACCCTAGGCCTGTTGAGGTGTGTAGGGCTGGGACGAATGGCGGTGGCAATTCTGGACTTCTCCTCCGACGTCGGCAAGGCCGATACGCACAGAAAATGATATATAGATATATATATATATATATATATATATATATATATCAGCAAAATTTGTATAAATGTTATCGATAAAAAATAAAAAAATACTAAAAATAAAATAAAATATGCTAGACTGAAACCACACGGAAAATGAAAAAGATCTAAAAATCGTAACTTAGACTAACAAAAATAGAAACAGGTAGAAGAATCTTACATTTCTCTTCTTAATCGTCAAGTCTCCTCCGGTGCCACCGTTGCTCTGTCTGAAACTCATACCTTGTCGGAATACTAGAGCTTCACTGAAACTCATGCCTTGCCACACCTGGTTCACTGGCGTTGTCGCCCCACCCTAACCCCAATTTTGTACTACACATCAAAGCCCTAACCCTAATCTCGTAAATACATCAACAAAATTGAAATCCCTAGCCTGTTCGTAGGCATCCTCTTCAAAAATTGAACTCCGATGGCCCAACTCTAGCATCAAAATCTCATAAATGAGTCATGTATTCATCAAAAAAAAAAAAGAAAAAAATCAGGGATCGATTAAACAACAGATCAATACACAAAAACACACACACACATATGTATAGATTTAGAAAAAAAAAAAAAAAAAAAAGGATTAAAATACTAACTATATAGATATATGGAGATCAACGAAGAGAGAGTTTGCTACGGAAATCATTCTACTGCTCGCTATGGTTGCTACGAAAACTGAGGAGACAAAAAGGAAAGAAATTTTTCATTCTTATGCTTCAGTCGTTCTTCATTTTCTTTCCATTTCTGGGCGTTTCCTCAGCAACCAAATGGAGCACAAGAGAATCAAAGTAAAAAAAAAAGAAAACAGATTACAAGATTGTTGTAATGACTGGTGATGGAAGGAGAGAGAGCTGTGATGACCGGTGATGGAAGGGCGAGACCGGTGATGGAAGGAGAGGGAGGTGTGATGGAAGGAGAGAGAGCGGCTGAAGGAGAGAGAGTGTTAGGGCTAAATGAAATGGGAAAGTGTTTTACGGTGAATTAATTGGCCCCAAAAAACGACGTAGTTTAGGGCCCAAATAATCAAATGCATATAAATAAACGGAGGGAAAAAATGGAGTTAAAGGGAAAAAAATGGAGGGAATGGAAGGACTTATTTACGGTGCAAAAAAGGCGTGTGAAATTTATTCACGATCTTTTAAATATATCGTAAAAGAATTTAAGTTCATTTTTTTCATTCTTTCAATATATATTTTTTAAGTAATTTTATTAATTGTAGTTTTATTGCTTATTTACGGGAAAAAAAATGTCTTAAATGTAGAATTTTAGTGTTTTATCAATGAGGAACATTTATACCGTTAAAGGTGTACAAATATATCATAAATATATTTAAATATTCACGGGATTTTTAATATACCGTAAAAATACTTTTCTACGACGATTCTGCTAAATTCTCGTGAAAGTATGCCCTATAACATAACAATTACGAGAATTCTTTTAAAAACTTCGTAAATGGTAGTAATCACGAGGCAAAATAAAGAAGCCCCGTAAATACTATGTCATAAAAGCCCACTTTTCTTATAATGTGTGAGCTTAGGAAATGACGGTATTGCCCTTAGTTGACTTAGGGTTCAGGTCATTACACTTTCATTCAAATAGTTTTCCTCGTAATTAGCCAACAAATTCAAAGTAAAATATTCAGAATTTATTTTCTCATTGCCTCCCCTAAGCTTAATTATATATATGTATTCAGCAACATGGCAAGTACGTAGTCAAAAAATTGGGAGGTGGGAGGGGGGCAATAGTAATTTTTTGGGTGTATAATTGAAAAAATTAAATTAAGAAGGGTAAATTAAAAATAAATAAAAAATATAATAAAAATATAATAAATTTAGGGAGATAATGGCCCCAACTGAACTACATGTAGCTCCATCCCTGGGTATGTTATCTAAACGATCCTAATTTAGTAATAGTTTCTCAACGCATGCACACACGTATACTTCATTTGCTTTGTCTAAGGGATGAGTATCCCTATGCTTCACATATGATTCAATTAGGGCTCAGGCATAAGAATTTTTGTTTTTCATATTTTTATTATAATAAATAGTTTAACATGACTGGTCCTCACCAGTGCTGAACTGGTCATGAATAAATGATTTACACAGTATTTATATCAGGTGAAATCAAACTTTATCACCTGATATTTTCTTACTTGAAAGCCACACTACAAGTCTGTCTTTGAATTTTTGTGTTGCTTTCATTTGGATTTTTACACAATATTTTCTTGCATCTGATTTGTTACATATACACCATTAATTGTTGTTCCAATAAAAGAATCATTTATAGATCGATCACTCTTCTTCAACTTCAATTTTCTCCTTTTAGATATCTCTGCTTCTTTATTCATCTGTGCGTGAAGGAGAAAATTAAACTCTCTCTAGCTAAGTTTCGTGACACGTACAAAAATGGCAGCAAGTAAGTCGAGCTATGAAAATGGTCAATCGAGTGTTGGAATCAAAGATGGTGATAATTGGATAATATCCATAATGGAAGAGGAACCCTTGCCACATAAAATAAAATAAAATACAGAAGGTTGCACCACAACTGCGGAAGGGCAGAAATGAATTCTTTGATCCTGCAGTCGTTTCAATCGGTCCCCTTCACTATGGCAAACCAGAGCTCCAAGAAATGGAAAATGTGAAGACCAGAGAATGGCACGCGCGTTTGTCGCTGACAGCAAACGAGACATCCTTGAATTCCGTGACAAGTTATTAGAAGTGGTCAGTGATGCAAGGAATTGCTACGTTGATGGATCAACAGGTGCATATGACGATGAAGCATTCGTCCGTATGATGTTCGTTGATGGTTGTTTTCTTCTGTATTTCATTGACAAGGTTCTGCAAGGTAAATATAATGATTTGGAAGAACTTGCTGGGCATCTAGGCTTTGGTAGATGGCCTGTGTTAATAGGGGACTTAATTTTGCTGGAGAACCAACTTCCTTTCCTAGTTCTCCAAACCTTGATGAGCGTAAGATTCCCAGAAGACGCAGGGAAGGGATTGATTGAGACTTACATCGACGTTTATTTCATACAAGACTTGGAAGCGAGGAAAATGATGATATCAGGACAACGTTCAAATGGTACCAAGTATGATGGAGATCAGCAACCCCTTCATTTACTAGAACTCACGCGCAGAAGATTTTTCGGCAGCACGAAAGGGGAAGATGGTCCTCCCAGCGGGACCGGATTAAGAGGACATAGAGCAACCAAGCAGATTAACTCATTTCGTTCGGCCACAGAACTTGAAGCACGAGGGATACATTTCAGGCCTAGCAACACATATATTTTGAACGACTTCACCTTCAGTTCTCGATTTCTTCATGGACGGGTGACGCTTCCTCAAGTCGTGGTTGATATCCAAACCAAGAGGGTCTTTTCGAACATGATGGCCGATGAATTGGCTCCCTTTGGATTCGGTGTCCAGAAGATATGCAATTATATATATTTCATGAATTCACTCATAAATGGAGCTGATGATGTGATTGAGCTGCGATCACACCGCATCATTTATAACTTACTTGGCACTGATGAGGAAGTTGCAAAACTATTCAACAACTTGGCTGCCTTCTGCGGAGATCCTCTTCTATCAGACAAAACTAAAGCTGTCATTACTGGGATTAAAGAGCACAACAACAGCAAGAGGAAGACTTGGACGGCTCAACTGTTGCACAACTATTTTAGCAGTCCCTGGACTGCTTTGGCTTTCTTTGCGCAACTTTTGCACTGGTTCTGACTTTCATTCAAACATTTTTCCCTCGTTAGAAGGTAAAATATTCAGAGTTTAATTTCTCATTGCCTTCGCATAAGCTTAATTAATACTATATATATATATATATATATATATATGTATTCATCATGACAGGTACAAGGACGACCTGTGAGCAATTTGGTCGGCACATCGATCCAACTCTAATGTGTGTTGGTTTAAAAGCATATAATATGTGTGTGTGTTGGATCCTTCAGTTTCAAGGACATTGAATAAATTAGTCATGTGTGTATGTTTAAAAACAAACTCATTTGTATTTCTTTTTATCTTTTCTTTCTTCAATTAATTTGCTTTTGGAATGTTTATTCCACATCGTCAATAAATGCTCACCTTCCTCAAACCTTCTACTTTTCCACCAAAGTAGTTGAATTAATCCACTGTCTTCGAGTTTTGATGTAAATCGAAAATGGCAATTGATGCAGTTGAGTCCACTCTAATCGTAGAAGTTCATGTACGTACCACAAGAACATGCCGAATGGAAATATATTGCAGGTGCCCGGTGCACCATGCACCTGGCCATCACAAACGTACATACTAAGCATGGATGGTTGTAATGTGTACGGTGCACCGGGCACAATAAATACCATCCTTTCGAATTGGGTCAGACTTCAATATATTATCAATTCCTCAATAACCAAAAAAGATGAAACTGCAAAAATATCATGCGAAGCAGCAAACCACGTTCCAGCAGCAATCAAGACAACGAGGAACTCTCCTTTTTGTGTACTCATCTGTGTAAATTAGCACATTTTGAAAGAAACGTGCTAACCATGTAATGATATAATTTGTTTACTCTTTTTGTTTGTTCAAAATGTGCTGTTTTAAAAGAGTTTTTATATCACAAAGTCTTAGGGATTTTTCCTGGTTGCTTCCCTTTTTATGTATGATTTTTTCGTGGGCTTTGGAAAGAAAAAGACATGCAACCTACTTTTTAATGTCGCAAGCCATCATTGGTGACAAGAAGAGACATCCAATTAATTATGGGGACACTTGTGAAGAAGACTTCGACTTGCCTACTGACTATTATTTACCTTTATTTTTATATTTTTTTGCCTGACGGAACATTTTATTTCAACAAAAAAAAAAACAAACAAAATACTCCGTACTACAGAAGAGGCCAGAGCCTCCACACAACTAGACAACATTCATTCCTTAAAAAAAGACCATTTCTAAAAGTACAAAGAAACTTCAAAAAAAATAAATAAATAAATAAAAAGAAGAAGAAGAAGAAAGAAAAGAAAAGAAAAGTAAAACAAAAACCATATGTATTCCACCACATCTCCTTTGCCAGACACAAATACCATCTAATCCCATGGCACCACAAACAGCATGATTAAAGCATTCCACAGAATTCTAATTCCAATTCCTGCAGGAAATGTCAAAGAGCCAAGTTGTAACTGGCGGGTGCGAGGTCAGGGAGAGAATATTACAAGATCCAACCCAAAAGTCACTTCACTTTCCCCTCTGGATTTGATGTGGGACAAGTCCCACGTTCCTTCATTCCATATAGACATAATGTAGCAAAGGAAAGCGAAACGGTGAGCCTAATCCTATAATAGAGTACTAGCCTTGACAGGGAGACTTTCTCTAGAACAGTTGATCGATGACCACGACCGGGGTTTCGAATGAAAGATAGCGATCGGAGGACGACGATTGGATTAGCAGACATCACTCACTTTGACTATTATTATTATTATTATTATTATTAAAACGGTCACTTTACTGGTCCTCATAAACCCCAACGAAAGACCTTATCTTTAGAAGTTCCATTTTAATCAGGTTCAAATTTATTTATGTAGTGTGCATAAACTAAACCAAAATATGGAACAAAATAATAAATTAATTATAATGTATTGGATAACACCATTAAAATTATATGTATAGCACACTCATGAGTTCATGCAATTTCTTCATCATTATTTGAGATTACTATCAATTAGTCAATGAGCAATTAATAAATAATACATCAAATTACTACCTCATTTATATGAAATAATTTAAAGAATTAATTAAATATTCTCTCTCTCTTTATACTGTACATAATATGATTTTCATAATCAAATACATTGATTTTGTTTCTCGTTCGGCGTGCACAACATAATAATATATAAGGAAACCAACTGATATATATATATATATATATAGCAAATTCATTGATTTGTTTCACGTTCGGCATGTACAATCATATTGCTGCTTAAAACAATTAAAGGTTCTCTCGTTCAACGTGTATTAAAAAAAAAATTATATTAGTTTCAAACAGAACCTTACTGATTTATATAAATCAATTACATATCCATATCCTAATACAATACACAATTTTTCAGATGATTAATCACCCACAAAATCGAGACACCAAAAAAAAAACAAGGACACTAAATTAATGATTTCAAATATATCGATTTAAGTATGCTACATCATAAATTAATCTTTACTATTTTGATTTCTACAAAACCTAACCTTAACTCTGATACCAATTGTTGGGTTTAAATAATAAACAACATGTACAAATCAAAAATTAATCTTGAATTAAAGAGAGGTTTTGATATCATACCTGATTAGAAAAATAAACTTTAGATACCTTTGAGAATTCTTGAGTGCCCTTTAAAAGATCTGAAAAATTAGAGCTCTTTACCCCCTTCTGAAAGTTGTCTATAAGTTATAAAACAAAAATCCAACGGTATAAAACCATACTCCCAATGTAACGACCCGGAAATTTTCCTTCCTTTCCTTTTCCTGAAATTTTACAGATGAATTTTTTCTGTTTAATTCTCTTTTCTGAGATCTGTTTCTCGTCGATTAGTGTCATCTCGAGTGCTCAGAATTGGCTTCTGAGACTCTTTCGTATGGATTGACAACTTCCTTTGAAGACCGAGTCATTTTCACATTTTTACTTTTCGGGACACTATTCTCTTTCGTCTTTTTCCCTCTTTCGTCCTTTTCCCTATTCTGTCTTTTTCCCGTTTGCCAGTTTTTGGCATAACCTCACTTTTCATGCTCGGAGTTGGTTTTTGACTTCACGTGTCTTCATCTTCAGTGGTTTCCTCGAAATACGTATCTTTACTTTTGCAAGGAAGTACTTTGGTTGCTCCCGGTGTCCATAGGAGCATGGATGCACAATTCTTAAGAATCTTTTTCTTTTCTTGGGATATTTTTTGAAGATATTTTATTTCAGGGGCATCTAAGAAAATATCTTTTGGAAAATATTTTCATTCTGGGGCAGTTTCGTAGTTAACCCTTTTTGTAGGGGCCATTGTGCAATTAATGAAAGTTATTGCAAAATACATCGTCTGAAGCCTAGATCCTCGTACGGGATTCATTTTCACATTTTGTTAAGTCATGGACTCTTGGAATTCCGTTCTGGTCGTTTTTCTCCAGTTTCAGAATTTCTGGACCCGGTTGCCACCGAACTTGTTCAGGGCATAACTCTTTCTTCGAAACTTAGTTTTTGATGTTGTTTCTTCCGTTGTTCATATTTTCTTATTTTGAATCTTTTTTGTTCACAGAGTTTTTCCGTTTGAGCGCGTTTGCTCAAAATCCACTTTTGCCGACTCGGCGGGGCCCTTTCGGGGCACTTTTTGAGACTTACTATAAATAGGATGCCCTAAAGTGAAAAATCAGATTTTCTCTCATCTTCTCCACTCTCTTAGCTGGCAGCCATGGGAGCTCCTTGGCTGCCACCCTTTCTCCTTCTCCTCCACTTGATTTCCTTGGTAGAAATCCTTCGCCCTTTACATTTATTGTTCCCCTCGACGTGTTCTATCATTCCTCCTTATTAGAATTTATTTCTGACCATTTCTTGAGTTTGGGTTTGAGGTCAAGTTGTGATTTTCATGGTGCTTCCTTCGGATTCATGTAGATCATGTTGTCCTCGACAAAACCCTTCGGTTTCGGCGAATTCGAAACACTTTTTTTTCAGTGGGGATTTGAGGTTTTCATCTCAAATTGAGGTAGGGGGTGTTATAATTTAAATTCTTGCTATATTACATGCTTCTGATACTTATACAACTTGATTACATGCTTGGATGTAAAATCTAGAGATTTTATTATTTATTTTTCTTATGAAGGATTTAATTTTTCCGGTTGTCCATAGCTTTGTTTAATCATGTGGCATAATAGAATATTACCCCTTGATGTGTAGATTGACATATATTAAATCTAGATTATTTGGACAAGTAATGAAGATTTTATTTAATATTTATCTTGAATAAAATATTAAATCATGTGCCCTTATCTAACTTTAAATCAACATGTGATAGCACATTATAATAGGCCTTAGCATGCTCTTTAATATAGATTAATTTGAGAGTAATCGGAGAAGTTTTGAAATCTAGTAATATTTAATTAATTATATTAATTAAATTGCTTCGAGTGTACTATTCACTCCATTAGAATTTCGACTTGAAATTCTTGATGTGCATGGCATATAGTTTCACATATATTAAATCTAGAATATTTGATTAGGTTTTGAAACCTTTCATTTATTATTTTTCTTGTATTAAAGTTTAATACTCAAGGCCATAACTTGCATGAAATGTACTTGTATTGTGTTCTTAAATCAAGTTATGACATATTGTATAACATATATTAAATTGAGCTCATTTGGATGACTTTCAAAATCTAGAGATTTTAATTAAATGAAATAATTAAAATCCATTCAATGGTTCTATGCACTTGATTAAGTTTCTAACCTTGTATTCATGATTTTCTTGATAAGTTCCTTCACGTGTATTACATTGAGCATAATCGGATAAGTTTTGAAACTTATATTCATTCATTTCTCTTGTATGGAACTTAACTCACATGGTTGTGTCGTGTATGAAATGAACTTGAAACTTGACATTTAACTTGGCCTTGACATGATCCTTGACATAACTTGTTTGTAGAATATTTGGACTTGCCATGTAACCTTGATAATTTACTCTTTTAAGTAGATTAAATTTCCTTTTATGTCTTCTTTGAGTTAATCATGCCTTGATATCATGTATTTAGACTTCTTGTATCTTGGTTTCATTAATGTGCTCAATGAACATACTCATTTGTTTCGGAATGGTTTATTCACACATGTGTTGTTTAGTATATAATTGAATCATGTATCTTATACTTATGGTATATTTGCTTCGATGGATTCCATGTGCTATTTATCTTGGTTGTGGTCTATATAAATGCACACATTGATTTCTTGACATTTCACATGCCATCATAGTTGAGAACTTAGGGCATGACTTGTGTGTTCCAAAATCTTGGTTGTGCATGATATGTGGTTAATGCATTTCTTATATTTTGATACAATCTTGACATGCACAACTTGTTGATTTTGGGACTTGGGATATCAATTAAGAATTGTCGTGACTAGGACTTGGTTCTAGTACGGGGGATTGTCCTCCTACACTATAGTGCACACTAGGGAAAAGGTACCCATAGGTTAGTAGCCCTAAAGTGATCTCAAGAATACGGTTTTAATCCGGGCGATATCCAAGTTTCCACATTGGTTGATTTCACTCTTTAAATTTCAAGTTACTATTCCTGGAAGATTTAAACTTGTCGTGTACGTGAAATGCACCAATCTTGTCTCATTGCATAGATTTTATGCTTCATTCATGATTTAACTCCTTAAATTTTAATTGTTGTATTACTTGAAGATTTAAGACTCTTTTTGTGTTATGTGGTAGATTTTACCCATGTTTAAATGCATAGATATTATGCCTTGCTCCTGACTCCATGTACCTTCCTTTTCGTGTTTTATGGAATATCCCATCTTTGTTTAATTGCATAGATATTATGCATTATCCTTGATGTCATGTGTAACTCTTTTCGTGTTATGTGAATGGTTCTAACTTTGTCTAATAGCATAGATATTATGCCATGTTCTTGATTTCGTGTATTAACCCTTTGGTGTTAATTAGAATGCTCCAATCATGTTTAATTATATTGATAATACAATTCATGTTAATCTATGTTCAAGTAACCTTCTTGTCATGTTCTTGGATTATCCCAACTTTGACTTGTTTCATATATGTATATATATCATGATTCTTGTTGCTTATACTCCATGGTATCTTAGGATGATCCCTGAGTCTAATCTTTGACATAGACGTTAGGTGGCATGATCCCTTTTGAACTATATCATGTTAGTC